ATGAGCAGAAGAATAAAAATAACACAAAGCAATTAGGGAAGACGCATTGCCTTCTTAGACGGGAAACTGTCGTTGTGGTTGAAACAGAAAGTATTCGATCAGTGGATACTTCCAGTGCTAACGAGTATGTGGGAAACGAAGATCTTATGCCTCAAAGCTATTTATAAACTGTAAAATGGAATGGAAAGATGCTTGCTGGAGATAACAAGGAAACACGGGAAAACCAGTGAATGGATATGAGGCAGAGAGACATCAGGCTGGGTTCCAAGAGAGCGTAAACGGTCCGTAGAAAGACTGCTAGATAGATGGCAGGATTAACTGAAGACGCTCGTTGAATTGACATGGATGAGATGCACAGAAAATATAAGTCTATGGCAAAGTCTTAGAAATGCGTTCATCCAGCAATGCATAGACAAAAGTTGATGATAACCTTTCTTTATGTCACATGTACAGGCTGCAAGCAACACACTCCATTCGGATAAGGATGCCTTCGTTTTAACCTCATTTCAACAATTCGTAAGAGTTCAAGCTTTCTGGAGGCTTTTCACCTTCTTTTGCGTTCTGAACCTGACCTATACTTCATCGCTTTTGAAAAGGGTGATTTCAGGCGTTAGACGTCAGTATGCAGCCATCGCATTTGGGTGAATCAGTTGCATGACTTCAACTGAAACTTTTTCCTTTGACTGTACCAAAGAAAGATGGATCGGCCATGTGACTCGCCTCAGAGACAAATGGTTGACGTCAAGAATTACCAACTGGGTTTAGCGTGACCATAAACGTGAACTCGGTCCCCCAAGAACGCGCTGGGACAATCAAATGGTCAAGATACCTGACGAGCAGTGAAGACAGAAAGCAGAAAACAGAGAATGCTGGAGAAGAGTGGATTTTGGTTCATGGCGCATCCACAACGAAGAAAAATCGATAATAATTAAAGGCTTACAATATACTTCAGTTATACTTCATTGGTGACCTAAGTATGTCTTCGCCGTGTTAGATTTTGATCAGCTACAACTGCCCTTTGATGACGACCTGCTTTCCAGACACTTGCACACACTTTTCATTCACATTGTATGATAAACAATGTTGTTGGCAAGAGATGATGTGATGTATAAGGTAAAGGCTGTAGAAGGTTTCCGGAAGAACAATACTACGAATACAAGTTACGGAAAGCAGACAACAAATTTGAGGTAGCTGAGCCTAGCGAGCTTTACACTGTGGCTTGCCTAAATATTAACTATTCATAATCATTTGCGGAAGTTCAAGATTTCAATCACCAATTTTGTGAGAAAAGATTGAAATATGACACGGTTCTATACACTCTATAACTTTGCTGCACGTTATAGCAGCGTTATATGGATTCCGCTGCGTCTTGCTTGTTGGTAGCAAGCAATTCTTTCATTAGTGGGCAAACTATTTATGCATTTTTGAAGAGAGCAATTGTCCGGAATGACATATTTTCCCAGTTTGACTCTGGACATAAAATGAAAAATAAAATCAGTCAATGTCTGAGTGACGACATTACGCCACTGAAAGTAGTGCATCTTTCCGTTTATCTTCTGAACAGACCTAATGATGCTTTGGCAGATTGAAGCCGATATAAACGCAATGTTACACTACCGGTTTAAATGGCTTTTCTCGAAGTTAAAGTGTATAAAGTAGGAAGTTGAATGCGGGACATTATATACGTAGTAAATGGATAGTCTGTGAATAATAACCAAAAGAATATTATGCATCTGTGGGGTCAATCTGAAAACTGCATAAAAAACGGTTTATTCATCCACGACGCAAGCAAATTGATCAATCCGGTGATTAACCGATTACCGGCATGCTTCAGTTCGTGTCTCACAGGTCATCTTCATGGTGGACAGGGTTGATTTCCAAAATTGCAGCGTTGTGTAATTCGCAGCTGTTCTAATGTTTGGCTGTAAACCAACTTTTATTTTCCTTCCTCTTAAACACTAACATTTCGTTTCCTTTTCTTTTTGTTCTTATTGTACTTTTGCGACAGCTTTTACCACATTTTATTTTAAAATTTCTCTATTCCGGCGCATCACATTTTAACCATAACTCTTTTAATGGAAATTTTTGTACCATTCTTATGGTTGCTTCTGTTCTGATTTCGAAAGGTTCGATTAGAGTTCAAAATTTCGCTACATATGAAGCCATCTTATGTTCAAGAGATGGATAAGATTTCAATAGTTTATACACTTTTTGTTTTTCATGAGGTTATGGTCACTGATTCCGTCACGATTCATTAGTCAGAAGATTTTTGTAGACACTCCCTACGGCCTGATAGTCTGCATCATACAGTTGCCTGCGTCATTACAATGAGCGTATTCATTTACGTACTTCGAAATGATGAAAGGCGACTTTCGTCTTTGACTCAAAGCCATTATTAGTTATCGAACTAGGAAAGAGTCAAATATCACCTTTGAACAGATAAAATGTATGAAGAATGCGACGCTCGGTAAGTTGAAAATGCTGCTAATCTGGTTGCTTTCAGTTGGCTGTGACAGTATGAGCACTGCACAGGCGACTTTTCAGTTCAAATTTCCTACCCGCAGCTCACATCGAGGCCTCGCAAGGAATCACTGAGATTTCGTCCATTTTTTGATTTTGGTGCTTGATGTTTGTAATTAATTAAGCACATTACTATGTAAGTAATTGTTTTGTGGATTTTACATAATTTTGCTTAAAATTATAATTTATTACTTAAATAGTGTGATATTATCCACAAAGTGAATACAAGAAAAGAGATCAGCGTGGATTGTAGTTTAACTAACATGTACGCTACAATTAAAAAATGACACAAACCAGTAAAGTGGTGAGCAGTTGTTTGTTTTGTAGCATTGTTCGTAAAAGAGAACAGCCTGTGCGTTTGGAGATGGCGCAAGTTAGTGCAATTGCACCATTTAGATTTACTCATTTACATACATAAATATGTTTTCCTGTGAACATATCTGCAATACCTTGCTACGGTCTGCTTCCATGATGTTCTTGCACCTACGGACTAAGTCAACTATGGCTGTTCAAGGTTACAGTGATTTAGTACCAGGTGACACACCTGTCAAGTGCTGTCACTAAGCTCTTATGTGTTACTCGAGTAGTTCTTCTAAAATTTTTCCCGTTTCCACTACTTTAAGGAATGCACAATTAAAATTACTTTTTTCCCTATGTAAAATTGTTTTCAATCACAACTCACACCGTCACGGGAAAATATTTTTTGGATTTAGTTTTATCGTACAACCGTTCTTGCATTTAAGCTCAGGCGGAAGTATTCCGCCGTTCTGACAAAGGACAGCAGTGTTTTGCTCACCGACACTACTTCGAACCATTTCAATGAACCGCATCCTCAAGTGAATTCGTACTCGAAACAACGGAATAAGTAACTTCCTCAGTGACTTAGTGACCGAGTGAATGTGGCGGAGCAAGCTTGTGCCCTCTCGACAGACTCTTCCACCGCATCGCGCAATTTTATCTGTGAATTGCAAATCTATAGTTATTTTAAACTGTTGTTCCTGTTGCCTACAAGTATTGAGCTTGAAGAATAAAGTCTGTTCAAAAAGGCTGTGATTTATGGAAATATATGTTTCGACGTACCGAAGAACAATAAACAAGATCCTCTCGAAGTAAACCTATAAAGCTTGTTGATTATACAGCAGGAAGTGAACCGAAGCGAATGCTAATGAAATCAATGTGTCCTCAATATGACTGAGGAGAATCTCGTGAGCTCTCTGGGTATTGCGCCATATTTTGTTACAGCGGAACTCGGTACATGAAAAGACATCCTGAACATCATGCTCATGTTCCTGCTCGTTCGCTTTTCACGAGTTACCACCACCTACCAAGCTGAACGGTCTCGCTCGTTGCCGTGTACGCTAATGCGAACGGCATTTTTACGGTGATTGCGTATGGCTAGTGGGCGGGTCGCTCGCCCACATGGAAGCCACCTCCGAAGTTGTGAAAAGGGCACGTGATTCAACGCAGCTCCGGCAAACGGTCGTCCATTGAGGAGTGCGACGGTTCCCGCCAATGCGACGCCAGCGATCGACTGGGGTGCATCGAACGTCGCATGCCTTCGGGCATCCTGATTCATTCGCGTGACAGTACCGACTGCAGGATGGTGTTTAGCACACACGTTTGTGCATAATACAGACATTGCGACCTGCCACGTTCGAGCCGTTCGAAAACGGACCGACGACGATCGGCCTGCACCGCGCACCGCTTCGGTATGAAAAAGGTAGAAAGCACAGGCCATTCTGAACAACGTTTAGCTAACGTCGAAAATACGCTATGATCCTTTGGCCAGGGAGGAAGGAGTATGGGAAGAGTGAAAAGCGAAGGTGTTGAAAAAGTAGAAACAACGGCAACACAAAAACAAGCAAAAAATACAGGCGAACGCATGACCAATAAGGAAATGGTCAAAAGTGCTGTACAAGCGACCATCAAGCTTCTTACCTATATTGACTAGGCGTATGTGCTCGTGGTCCTTGAGGAACTTCAGAGCCACGGAGACGTTCTCGAGCTTTTGCGACCGAAACGTCGGGCGAGGATTGTGACGTGGAAGGCGCTGATTGGAGAGCACCTCGATGAGGCGAATCAGCATCAAGCCGTCTGACAGGTCTGTCTCCAAGTCGTTGATGTGCTGACCGGTGTCCTTCAGGTGTTGGTTGCACCAACGAGTGAACGTGTTCTGCTGGATCTTCTTCCAGTTATTCTCGTGTTTCAGCTCCGCGTCGTTCAGTGACTCTTCGGACATCGTTGACTGCTGGTGATGCATCGACATTACTGTCGATTCTCCTCTTTCACCTCCTTTCTTTTCTGATGCTTCTTCACCAAACCAAAATACAGTATCCGCTATAATCCCCGCTGGCAGTCGCTTGGCTTTCAGTTCGTACGAAGCTGTGTCGTCGCGATCCGATCGGTTGGCCGGCAACGTTCGCAGCCCTACGCTTCCCTACTCTTTCTCTGTGCGCATATGCCGTACAAGCATGAAAATTGCAGCGGCCTCTGGCGGTGACGTCCAATGCTCAGAAGTCACACCGCTCCGTTGCAGCGCCCCCTAGCGACATGGCAATAAATTTGTTCGTTGTTGGCCCCAGATGTCATGAGAGCGATCGCCGAGGATAGACGGTTTTCATTTCTCATTAGCTCATTAGCATTTCGCCTTCTTTGACTCACGTGTTTAATGATAATGGCTGGAGAGGGAGGAAGGTGAAGAAAAATTCTAGAATGTTTTTGCCGCATTTTTGATTCAACTACAAGTGGCTCGTTGGCCGATCGTCCTCTGGGCTTCTGTATTGCTCACTTTTACAAACCTGAACGTTCATTTATTATATTAATTTCGCATTTAATTAATCATTTGCACGTGACCGATGGACAATTTTAAAAAATGTGATCAGTCCGCCGAATCTGTTCCTTTTTTGCCTTTCCGACCTCGTCTCTCAATCTGTGACACTATTGACGGTGACATGTCGCCGAGTCGTTGTCGCTGCCGCCACCGCCGACGCATACCGCTGGCTGGCCAAGCGTGCAATATCCTAAAAACGAACAGTTCTTGCTGCTATGTGCTCTACCCTTCGTACAGCACAAGTTGGCTCACCTGTCGATAGCAGCCAGAACCGCCGCCAGCCTGTCGTTTCGGTGCTTCGCTAACCCGTTCGGTGACAACGACGACGTCGACAATGACAACTTCATGTTGTCAACAGTTTACAACAATCGATCAACCGTTGATGACTCATCCTCGCACAGAACTTGCCAAAACAATTACTGAACCGATCATCTACCAGAGAGGAGTCACGATAATGCTTCATAACCATAACGCGACGGCAGAAACGAATATGTTGAAAACTGTATTAAAATATAGTTTATTCATAAGAACGCAAGCAACTTGGTCAATCGTGTGGCTAACCAGTTCCGACTTTTCGGCTCTTGCCTCACGGGCATTCCTCAAGCTAGACAGGGTTGACCTGCTAAGTTCATTCTGTACCCGCGGCTGTTGTGACGTTTGGAGCCAAAGGTCGAAAGGTCAACAGAAACATATACTTTATTAAGGACCGTCCATTGAATTACACCATGCAATTCGATGCCCTTCGCTCGTAACCTTGGCAGCCTCATTCTCGCAGAAACTTATCCTTGTGGAAAAATCACGGGGCGACTGTCGAATTCCAAAAACACGGCATTCAAACTTGGACTTGATAATCTG